TTCCGAGACCTCTCTTTCCAGAAGTTCCGTGACTCGTTTAAAGCTTCAACAGGATTCGGAGTCATAGTTCCAACTAAACTGTTCAGGATGGAGGTTTGCAACCATCCACTTGTTCATTTTTAGAGCATATTTTTGTCTTGGAAAGACAAGAAAATCTTTAAGACTATAACTTTCACGCCTTTTTGTATGCAGGGTTTTGGAGGGTAAGGCTGTGGTGGCTTAGTCTATATCTTGATATGTAGTATATATTTGAAATTTAGTAAAAATTTGAAAGTCAAACATAATATGTGATCATGTGACATTTTGACATCTTTATTTCATTTTTAGAATTATTCTATTTATCAAGATATAGGGTAAGGCGCCTAACCTCAGCTCATCCAAACACCCTTAGACGTTTGCTTCATCTCATCACTAAAATATATTACTCCCTCCTTTCTCTAATATCTCTTCATATTGCTTTATTATCTTTATTTCTCAAATAACTATCTCTTTAAAATATTAGTATCAACAGAACATTATTGTTCGTTGTCATCCATTACCCTTACTTCATTTATAAATGTTAGTATGTAATACTCTAAACATTAATGGAGGAACTCTAGTCATCTAATAGTATTTTTACCTTGACTTTAGGAAAAGAGTATTGCTTTTTTTGCATGTGTGCAAAACCTAACTAAAAGAAAACGGAGGATTTTGCATAGTTGAAATTGCCAGGATACGTTTCCCTATTTCCTGTGAATTAATTTATTCTAATATAACAGTTTCCTGGACTTCTGATTATTATTTTTGTTTCAACTTCAGGTTAATTACTGCCACATACTGAAACAAGGAGAGTATGATAGAGGGAAGACTGGGTTGCAGTTTAGCTTTTCTTCGTCTTTCTAATAGCATAAAAAAATATCCATCATGTTTAAGGTAAACTTCACATGTTGTCTTTCACCATTTCTGTCCGAGGGGTCAATTTTGACAGCATTGGATATGTAATCGAAAGACTTTGATCCTGGATGATCCAATGCTACAGGGAATAAATTTGTACTTGAGCATTAAACATGATTTCCTCCTCACTGAATCAAATTGTTTGGAAAATGAAAATCATTTTTTATGAAGCATGATTCGAAGGAAACTAACTTCTCTATCTCCCCACATGTTTGTTTACTTTCTACTTTTCTGTGTTTACCTACTTTTTGTTGGTTGTCATGTTAAGTGTGTTAAGTAGGATAAAAAATTACAGCCTTTTGGCTGTTGTGTGTTCTAGAAAGTTCTAGACTCAAGACGGGCATCAGATGGACAATCTGACAAGTAGATTGGATCTAGGTGGGGTCCGGAATGGGCAAATGCTGGATTAGAGAGGGCCAATTTTTAAAAAGTAGACAAGACCAACATCTTAGTGAAACAAATGAGTGGAAGGATATATTAGGTAGGTCTAAGAACTATGCGTGCAAGATATGGTGATTGCAAGGTATAGCTAACTAATACGGAGTAATTGACAATTTTAGATTGTGTTAGCTCATTGGAAATAGCAAATTGTATCTGCTGCTTTGGCCAGCGGTGCCTAGACACCCAACTCCTTTGAACTTTCCAGGACAATCTTTATCATTTATTTATGCAATCGCCATTTAAATAGAAGATTAGAATACAGTGCCATTTATTAAGAGGTAGTTGAAGACTTGAAGTCACATCTGTTGTGGTTTTGGGTGGGTTTTACGAAGTAATGATCCCTTAGGGCTAGCTCGAGTGATCCTTCAGGATGTTTTTACTTGGACTGTAATTTGTTGGTCTGATCTGGTCTGGTCATGTCTGGTTTCTTTGTATTTTTATATCTATCCAAGTCTGTTCTGATTTGATTTGGTCTGGGACAGATTACCGTCCAAGTAAAAACATCCTCAATCAATTGGTCTAGCATCAAGAGCAATGTGGAAGTTGGCTTCTTCGTGTAAATCGTTTTTTTTTTTTTGGGATAATGGTTGGAACCCGTGGACATGCTGAATCAGTTGAGAGCACCTTCTTATATGCGGAGGTGTACAGATGATGGAATATTAAAGCATTGTTCAGACAACCAACGATTTATTTAAGGTTCTGGGTTGATTTTGGGAGACGTGTTTAGTCTAGCGAAGTTGGGTATCCAGTTTTATTTTATACGTAGTATAAAGGAATTTTATCAATTCAGGATTAAAAGACAGACGAATTATCAATTCGGGACCTAAAAGATCAAATGCATTGATATAGGATCCAAATGATCAAAAACTATCAATTTAGGATTTGAATGATTGAAAACTATCAATCTAAGACCTAAGTTGTCATAATCCAACCTTTTAGCAGTCTTATTACAATAGTCCCATCTATGGGTGGACTCGGGCCGGGCGGCCCGGCCCGGAACCGGCCCGGCCCAGTTACTGTTTGGCCCGGCCCGGGGCCCGGTGGGTCCACCGGTTCGGTTCGGCCCGGCCCGGCCCGGCTGCTGGGCGGTCCGGGCTCGGGCCCAGTTTTTGGTGAACCGGCCCGACCGGTTCGGGCCGGTTTTTAAATTTTTTTTTTTTGAATTTTTTTTAAGTTTTGGGTTGGATTAGGTATTTTGGGCCATTTGAGGTGGTTTGGGGTGGTTTGGGGTTGAGGGGGAGGGGTTGGGGGTTAAATAGAAGAGCCAAAAAAAAAAAATAGAACCGGCCCGGCCCAGCCCGGTTTGGCCCGGAACCGGAACCGCCCACCGGCGGTTCGGGCTCAGGCCCAACTTTCTTGGCCCGAGGCCCGGCCGGGCCCAAACGTTTATCTTCATGTTTAAGGATATGCTAAACGTTTCAAACAAACAATTCAAACAAAACATTTAGCATTGGATGATGCTAAATAAGGGTCGAAATATAATGGTTTCATAGATACTTGTATTGATATTTCCACAAGGTTATGGTGCATAAGTGTATTCATTTAATATCATTCAATATAATCAATATATACAGTACTCTAAAATATCAGTAAATGCATATATGTGTTCATCATTGTTTTCAAAATATCACTGTCTTATATTTGCTCATCCTCTTCATAGAGAATTTAATGTACTAATGATTAAAGTTTCACGTAAAAGTTCAACAGGCTGTTACAACTAATCAACCAAGTATACCATAGCGGTACTCAATTCTTGTGAAATAATTACATAATAAAAGTTCTTTACAAAAGTTATATGTAGCAAAATAAATTAAAGCATTCGACTAGAAACTCACCTGAGTGCAGGGTCCGCCATCTAAGGGAACTTGTTCATGTCTTTGTACAGCGGTCGTGCCTGCAACACAAATTCAATGTGGGATTTTTTGATGGATCAACCTAATTTTTTCGTTTATGGAGGGAAAAAAGAGGAGGTTTTATACCTAAATTTGTTCTTGTCAAAATAGAGTTACTATTGATGTTACCTATTTTGGTTAAACAAGTATGCATGTTTTGCTATAAAGGTAGTGATTATAGTAATAACTTTAGCCATAATAATTTATGTTCAATTTTGTACGTATGTAAGTGACCATGACACTTTACCTATAGCTGCTCTAGTCATATTTTTATAAATAAATTATTTCAGTAATACTGTTAAATAACCCTTTTGGGGGGTTAGTGTCTTTTTCTACTAATAATTATATACTTCCTCCGTTTTTTTTCTGTTGCAACGGTCAACATTTCACACTTACCAATGCACGTCTTTGACCGTAATTATATCTTAATCTCTATTAGTAAAAAATATTTAAAAATTAGATTTCAAAAAATTGTAATGAGATGAATTGAACAATGTCTTTTTACAAAATTAATTTTTCATAAAATAATAATATAAAATATAGTCAGAGTAGAACATGTGAATAGTGTAAAATTCAACATGTTGTGATTAAAAAGAGATGAATGATAGTACAATGTAATTATTGTACTAGCCCAATAAAAAATAATCTCAACACATGGTCAAATCAATATACACTAATGATTTTAAAAAATGATAAGTCATTCGCTTGTGTAACAATGTACTTGTATACATGAGTGCGTGACCATTGGTGGAGTCGTTAATTTGATACTAGTGCTGGACTCGGGCCGGTTCGGGCCTGGGCCCGGTTCGAGCCTGGGCCCGGCCGGGCCTCGGGCCAGGAAAGGGGAGGCCCGAGCCCGAACCGCCGGTGGCCGGTTCCGGGCCAAACCGGCCCAATTTTTTTTTTTTTGGGTTCTCCTATTTAATCCCCTACCGCTCCCCCTCACCCCCAAACCACCCCAAACCACCCCAAACCACCTCAAATGGCCCAAAATACCTATTCCAACCCAAGACTTAAAAAATTTTTCAAAAAAAAAAAAATTAAAATCCGGCACGGACCGGGCCCGAACCGGCCGGGCCGGTTCACCATATGGAAGGCCCGGGCCCGGAACCGGGAACCACCGGGCCGGTTCGACCCGAACCGCCGGTGGACCGGGCCACCGGGCCGGGCCGGTTGCTACAGTGGCCGGGCCGGGCCGGTTCCGGGTCGGGCCGCCCGGCCCAAGGCCAGGCCTATTTGATACCAATATATTTAATCCATTTTTAATGATATTTGTGTCAAAATCCCAAAGTCTTGCATACTTCTTAAACATGTACTATACTTAATCCGAACAGAAGGGTTATTTGGTCATTTGACATGATTCAGAGTCTTAGACTTCTCATTCAGCTCACTTAGTAAACAGTGTGTTCTTTCAATGACACTTAATCCAAACAGACAACTTAATGTAGACAACTTAATGTAGACAGACGTCTTCATCCACTCAAGACTTGGATGAAAAAAAAAAAAAAGTAAACAGCCTCTAAGAGGAGTGGCAACTTATTAAGGTGCCATTCTCAGTTTCTCACTGGCTAGTTACGAACCACCATATGGAGTTGCGACTTAATAAGCCGCCGCCTTTATTGGCAACTTACGAATCGCCATATGGATTGGCGACTCTTGCTCTACATTATTCCCTAAGCATTGCAGTTACATCTACATACAATGAGACAACAACAAACATACAACAACCGAACATCAACAAACAAATTTGTGAACATAGCATACAAAAAGTAACCGTCACACAAAATTAATCATTTTAATGACACAAGTACGCAACAATCCAAATTTTGAAAGCAACAAGACATTAATAATACAACACACAGCTCATTTGTATGTGGACATACATAAGTACAGTTATGCAATGTTTCATAAGATTTACAAAACCATGTTCTTTAAAAAAGTAGTGGAGACAAGTTACAAGTCTTCATATTCATCATCCATGTCACGGTTTATTAGTTGAGATGATGTTGCTCTAGATGTGTGCCTGATGTGGTTCTGTGGTTGACGTTAAATATTGAGAGGAGCTCAAATGTAAAAGATGGTCATAGTCAACTTAACCCAGTGCATCAGCACATTACGAAGCAATTTCTGACATAATTTCATCTTGTGTCAACATCTTGGTGCTCACAAACCTCAACAGTCGCTCTTATGGAAATGCTGCAAAGCATGTGTCGGAAATGTGAAACAAGTGTTACATTTAGATTGGAAAATACTTCTCCCGTCTCTTAAAACTTTGTCATCTTTTCTTTTTTGTTATTACAAAAACTTTGTCACCTTTCTTTTTAACCAACTAATTGGCGGTTCCTATCACATCTCTCTTCTCCACACAAAAATCGACCACACAATTTTTAATTTTTTATTTTATTATATCCAGTGCCAATTGAACATGGCAAAGTTTTGAGGGACGGAGGAAGTATAATCAATGTAGGATAATATTATTTGAGCAGTTATCATCAATTTCGGAGCAATCCAAGTAAGTTAATAATGGTGAGTAGGTAGTCTAAATGTAACTTAATGGTTCTCCCAGATAGAAATGTACCACACAGGTATTAGAGACCACAATCCTTTGCACACTTTCTTCGCATGCCGATCTTATAAAGGTCTACACACGCGCCAAAAGATATCACAATACCTACTCAAAGTCAAAGTGACACAATACACAATCCAGAAGTTGATGCTCAACAAAATCAAAACAAATCAAAGGAACACATGCCCTTCATGTATAATGATTTTGGACCTGTGGGGGGACAACTCTTACAACATGACGGGTGTATAGGGCATCCACATAATCTATTACCCATGACCAAATAAATATATTTCTCACCAAACAAATGAATATGTATAAATAAGCTAAAGTGGCACTACTGCAATTGAAGTATGCAGCTCCATCAAAATTCTCAAGAATAGGCAAATAAAGGAGAGTTGAATGTCATTACCACTCTTGTTAGTAAAATGGAAGCACCCATAAGCCTCATAGTGTATGCACGCGCGTGTTGTTGAATCATAACATCATATGCATCAGGAGTATAGTGAAATTCCCCCACAAGGCCACAACCATGATAATCCCAAAGACTAGCCATGAATGTCAATGCAAAGCACGGGAAGAAGACCTAACAGTCGATGCACATCATGAATCCATGGTTAACATGGAGGACCAGTAACAGCTTTCCCATGAACATGTACTCCTATGAACCTGCAGACCAGATAGTACAACATCGCACAACGTGTCCATCACCTCACCAACTGGCAAGTTGAAAATGCATTTTATGTTTCCAGCACTCAAGAAAAGGAATAATGAGAGATTTATCTAGGGGCATCGTCGAAAGCAATCTGTGAACAACATAAAATTTAGCTACTCTAACATAAGGTAACACTCTATCAACCTGTACATTCAGGTCACACCACACATCCGCACTCCTATGTGTGGCATGCAATATAGGACATAAGCATCAATCAACACTCGATCCCTATGGTGCATATTTATATATTTAATAAATAAAGCATTACCTAGTGGAGTCCTCACATTTCCAATTCCACCGGCGCTCACTGTCCTATTACGGCTCGTTGCTTCCGGGTCGAATTTTATGATTAAATTTTGTGAGTATATTCTTCATGAAGTGTAGCTTATGTCTATCAAATTTCAGCTTAAAATTTAATCAGGAAGTCAATTAAATATTTTTTTTGAAAATTGTGCAGTTATATATATAAAAACTGTAGTTTTTTTAAATAATTTATTTAATTGACTTCTCAGATTAATTTTAGTCTAAAATTTGATGGATATAATCTACATTTCATGGAGAACATGCTCACAAAAATTTATCAAAAAAATTGATTGAAAGCAATTTAAATGAAAGAGGCGTAACATTCCAATCTAGTGACAATTATGCACCGATTCCTATAGAGTGTTTCATATAGTGTGTCTAGTTTCGTAGAGTGTATTGGGTATTCAATCCATCAACTCAGGCTTTCGGGGTTTAAGAACTATTTGGGATGCATATATGACATTATTCTTTGCCATGCGTAATGATACTAATAATCAACTATTCTTCTTTGGCTCTTACAATTCGTGAAGAAGAAAATAGAAGAGTTGGCCATGGATTATGGTTTGCATCCGTACCTTTGTCACACAAAGAAAATTGTGTTATTTTAGATCAGCATCCCGGGATTTTATAGGCCCGTTGATAGGAACCCTATGCACATCACAATTAGTGAATGTGTCATATAATATCAAATGTGCACACGCATTTCAATGACATTCATATCAAGAACATAATTATTTAAACCGCATGACAGCATCAGAAAAACATTTGACAATGAATTCAACACGATATGAGAAATGCGGGTGTAGGTACAACTATTTCTAGGGAACATTTCATTGGAAAATGGTCATTACACTATGGTGAGGGAGTTCAGATGCGGCACCACAACATCCAATATGGTTGAAGATTTCTTCAATAAAACGAAAAGTGCACGATACTTATCCATTACAGCTTTGATTAAAGTTTCATTTTATCATGTTAATGAATATTTCATGGACATAAGTAAATCTAGTAAGAGAAGATCAACAAAATATAATGAGTATTGTCAGCAAATAACAGATCTTATCGAGAAGAACATGGATAAGGCCAAACATCACATGGACACTACATTTGATATAGATTGTGGTCTATACCAAGTGAAAATAGGATGTGGTGGGCGAACATAGGGAAAAAAAATGAAAAAAGAAAGCACTTAATTTGCTTCAACGTACTTGCGATTTTCAAAAGGTGAAGATTTATAAAATCCTTTGCTCACATGTAAAAGCTTTGTGTGGACAATGTAAACTGTCATACATAGATCATTTTTTCTCATCCTCCAAGTACGTTGTTTCACATACAAATGTATATAAATCCATTTCCAACCATGATTATTGGTCGACTTACCGTGGATCACCAATTGTGCATGGACGCCTTATACACCCGCAATGTAGGAGGAATTAGCTCCCGCATGTCGGGAGCATCATTATATATGGAGAACACGTATTCCATTGATTTTTCAAAAAATATTAGAGGTACCCCATTTGTTCTCCCCCTATTGTGTGGCTCAAATGGGGCAATTCATTTAAGTGGGGCAACTCATTTAAATGATGGGCTCATTTGAACCACACAAAAGGTTTGGCACAAATGGGGTACCCCAAAACGGGCTACACCAAGCAAGACTCTGATTTTTTTTTTCATATTGTTGAGCATCATCTTCGAAATGTACTGCATCAGTTTGACTTTAGGCCGATGATTTCAACATCTATTGGCATGTATGCAGACTTTCATAAGACTGACAAGCGAGAGAAGCCTATTGAGGATTGGTCACTACGGCATGTGCAATACATTTCTATCTGGGAGAGGCAAGTGCGTGTTGTTGTTACTGGGAATCTATGGGTACAACCCTTAGTTACTTTGGATTACATAAGATGGCATTATATTATTACACGGTTGTTTATCTACCCTTCATTTAGGTTACCCGGATATCATGATCAACCTATAATTGGTCTACACTTGACAGTAAGTGCTCTAATAATTTTATCCCATTTTTTTATATTTTCCATTCTAAAAATGTAATACCATGTTCCACATTTCATACACGGTTTTGAACCAGCAATTGTTATGGTTAGTGAGTCGCATGATGTTGACACATATGACGAGATTATGTGAGGCATTGCTTCGTTATGATTAATGTCTTGAACCGTGTTGACTACGGTCATCTTTTACATATGAGCTCGTCCCAATATTATGTGACATCCATAACTACAATAGCATATTGTCAACTAGGATTGTGCACCGGGCCAAAATCGGACCCTAAATAAGAATTGGCCAAAAATGAAAACCGACAACCGACTCGATATATATCTGGTTACACTGGAACCGAACCGGTAAAACCGGACCCAATCCGGCTAAACCGTTTTTGAATTTTTCAACCAAAACTAGTACATTAAACTTGCTTGATGGACGTTGAATTATTCAACAATATACTACTTAATTACCAAATTCAAAAAATTGCAAAACATAAATAATCCCAAAATTCTGTGAACATAAGTATCAGATCCAAAAGATCACAAAACATATCTAAAATTTTAAAAATGTAGCATAAAATATAAGGTTTACAACAAGATGATTATCGAATATTAAAGTTTGCAGGATATAAGAGGTAATAAATTTGCTATATTTCAACACACTTGAACTATAGCAATTTGTGTGATCCAATCTTGACAACAAATAAGAGGTTGTACAACAAGATGATTATCGAATATTAAAGTTTGCAGGATATAAGAGGCAATAAATAAAAATTTGCTATATTTCAACACACTTGAACTATATCAGTTTGTGTGATCCAATCTTGACAGCAAATAAGAGGTTGTACCATCTTTTTACAAAGCAATAAAAATAGAGGATAAAAAATCATTAGCTTTCTAAAATAATTGAGATGATCGAGATATTAACATTAAATTAACTTAGGAGTCAACAAGCTCATAAATTGATTTAGAATACAACCTCCCGCGCTAAATGCCGACTCTAACGTTACAATTGATATCGAGATTGCTAATATGTCAAGAGCCATATATGCTATTACCGGAAATCTAGTATTGTTTAATTTTTACCAAGTCAAAACATCTTTCTCTTCCTTCATCGAGGTAGCCATTGAATTCACTTCTTGAATAATGGTGTAATCCATTCATTTACTTCACTTGGTCTTTCACAAGATTCATCAAAGTAGTAGAACCATCTGTTATAGAAGTTGCTCTTGAGACTTCCCCGCTCTCATCAATCACACAATCGAAGAAACGAAAACTTTTCTATACTCATACAAATCACAAGGACATTTAATAATCTTTTCAAATAACGATTGTGCGCTTTCTTCAACATAAGTATCACCAAGAGCAATCTTTACACCAATTATGTATATCACCCCAATATTTGTCATACTTCGAATCAAGAACGATAATCATGTATATCAACTTGTTTCATCTTTTCAATATCACCCCAATAATTGTCATACTTTGATTTCATTTTAGATGTCACATCTTTCAAAGCAACTTGATCTTTAGCACATCATTTATCAACAAATCAAGTGTATGACATATATGGAAGAAAAGAGCACATGGCATTTAAAGATCCCGACACATTTTTAGTCAACTCATAAAATTCCTTAAAAAAAACTACAAGATATTTAAGCGTCTCCCAATCCGCATTACTAGTGGAACCCAAACTTTTCATCGTTTTGTGAAGTTCCAACATCACAAAAACATCTTTGTACTTCAAAACTGAATCCAGCGTATAATATGTTGAATTTCATCTAGTAAGGCAATCAAGAACAAACTGCAATTAAATTTTAATTTCTCCACTTGTTTATGAAAAATCATTAACTTGTTAGGATTTTTTTATAAATCTCATAGCAGTCGTGAACTTATCAATGCAATTAAAATATTTTTTCAAGTCATCCCAAACTATAAGATTATTAATGATATGTGCAATAAATCTTACGTGCAACAACTCACCATCACTAATACCACCAGATCTCTTCACCATATTTTTCAGATAAAAGATAATGACAAGCAACATCATTCGAACTCGAATTATAACATGTCACAGCATACAATCTATCCCCAAGTCCCCAAACATTTAAACGATCTTCAAATGGCCTACCAATAGGACAAAAATTCAAAATCCGTTTTTGCAATCTCCACTGATAAACAATGACAGGAGCGGTGTGACGCATATAATTAATCCTTTGAATGGATGTCTAAATGTCGGTAGTCACACAAATCCTCTGACATTATTATTTAGAAAAAATCTTTCAATCTTCAACATAAAACTTATAACAATCTCGTGGAACAGTAGTTCGTGAAGGTATATGGAAAAGAGGGCAAGCTATTCGCATGAAATACCTAAATCCAGGTTTCTCACAAACTAAAACGACAAATCGTCAAATAATAAGCATATGGTATAACCCTTCCTAGCTAAATTCCTCTAAGTTAGGAAGGGATTTATACCATATGCTTATTATTGACGAATTGTCATTTAAGTTTGTGGAGAAACCTGGATTTAGGTATTTCATGCAAATAGCCTGCCCCATTTTCCATATAACTTCAGAAACCACCGTTGCATGAGATTGTTAAAAGTTTTATCTTGAAGAAAAGGGAAGATTAATATTGAAAGATTT